ACATTTTGCATGACATTTTACAAATTATAGAAAAGATAAGAAATTCTTCAACAGTACTGTGTAATGCTTGGAAAGAAATCTCAAGTCTCCACAAAAAAGTGAAAGTCATTTAACAAAAAATATACAATTATTATATTTATTAATCATTTCTTTTTTTATAATAAAAAAGATTCTCAAATCTTATAATTAGATGATATGATTTAAATATAGTTTATATTATATAATATGCTACATAAAAGTTATCAAGACACAAACAACAGTCAGGGGGCGATACTAAACAAGTTATTTTTTTTAGTTACTTAATATATACTAATAGGTATTTTTTGTTTTTTTAAATTATTTGATATAAACTCAGTAGTTATTTTAAATGTCAAAAGTGGACTAAATGTAGTTTTTAAGAATTTTTTCATCATTTCATTAAGTAAAATTCAGTATTTATCCAACTTGAGATGAGTATAGAGAGATTACTTTAAAAATAATGAAAAAATATTACTTTTATAAATTATTTTATACATCTTCGAAAAACTAAGCATACTTACAATTATTTAAGGAACATATGTAATTGTTTTTGATAAAGATTTCAAATTATAAATAACTTCAAGTCTTAATTAAATCACAAAGTTCCATCCATTTATATTTGTTCATCTCTAAGATTTTAAAGGAAAATGTTATTTTAATAGCCCCAAGAGACCAATCTATGACCAAGAAGTGTGGCATCAGAAAGGCAATTAGTGTTTCAGGAGGATTTAAATAGTTTTATACTGCATGGGGAAAATAACCAGATGTGAAAATTTGGTAAAGCTTGTAAAACCTGTATGAATGGACACCTATAGAAATAATATTAACAAAAGTTACTTATTCATGATATATAAGTAATATTTGAAACAACCTTGTTTTCAATATAACTTGTATAAGTAATTTTGAAAATTACTTGTTTAAGTAATGCCCCTAACTATTAAAACAATGATAATTTTTTTTTTTTTTTATAAAATAGCAAAGTTAGTTTTTTATAAAAAAAATTATGGCTACTCTAAGAAAAGTTGAGGAGGTAATACCACCATTGTTTTCCCTCTAGTACGTCTCACTTTAATTGTCATTTTTTTTATAATTATGCGGATTTGGTTTTATTTAAATAAAGAAATACTTGGCATAATTATATAAGTGAAGTTTTATCCTGACCTGTACTTGAATGAAAATCTAATAGAAAATTGTTTCCCCCTATCAGTCTTTGTTTAATTGGTATTTTTCAAAAAATATGTGCAGAATTTATCTATGTTTTAAATAAAGAAATACTTGACATGAGTAAAGTTTTTTCTTGTCCTGTACTATAGTAATAAAACAACATAATTTTTCAGTGCATATAAGAAAGAAGACATCACCAGAATTAACCAGCCAAATTCTATCCCCCTTTTTTTTTCTCTGTTTACAAGCTTTAGTAGCCATGTCCCCTAAAATTGCAAAAATATTTTATATAAAAAACTTTGCTATTTTATAAAAAAAAAATACCATTGTTTAGTTAAGGGCATTACTTAAACTAGTAATTTTCAAAATTACCTATACAAGTTATATTGAAAACAAGGTTGTTTAAAATATTACTTATATATCATGAATAAGTAACTTCTGTTAATATTATTTCTATAGGTGTCCATTCATACAGGTTTTACAAGCTTTAACAAATTTTCAAATCTGGTTATTTTCCCCATGCAGTATAAAACTATTTAAATCCTCCTGAAACACTAATTGCCTTTCTGATGCCACACTTCTTGGTCATAGATTGGTCTCTTGGGGCTATTAAAATAAAATTTTCCTTCAAAATCTTAGAGATGAACAAATATAAATGGATGGAACCTTGTGATTTAATTAAGACTTGAAGTTATTTATAATTTGAAATATTTATCAAAAACAATTACATATGTTCCTTAAATAATTGTAAGTATGCTTAGTTTTTCGAAGATGTATAAGATAATAAATAAAAGTAATATTTTTGTCATTATTTTGAAAGTAATCTCTCTATACTCATCTCAAGTTGGATAAATACTTAATTTTACTTAATGAAATGATGAAAAAATTCTTAAAAACTACATTTAGTCCACTTTTGACATTTAAAATAACAATTGAGATTATATCAAATAATTTAAAAAAAAAAAAAATACCTATTAATATAAGTAACTAAAAAAAATAACTCGTTTAGTATCGCCCCCTGACTGTTGTTTGTGTCTTGATAACTTTTATGTAGCATATTATATAATATAAACCCTATTTAAATCATATCATCTAATTATAAAATTTGAGAATTTTTTTTATTATAAAAAAAGAAATGATTATTTTAAAAATATAATAATTGTATATTTTTTGTTAAATGACTTTCACTTTTTGTGGAGACTTGAGATTTCTTTCCAAGCATTACACAGTACTGTTGAAGAATTTCTAATCTATTCTATAGTTTTGTAAAATTTCAGGCAAAATGTATTTGAATAGATTAGATGTTTACACAGGTGTTAATTGAGCTTCCTCTATAATGCTCTACTTTCCTTATTATAGAAGTGGTGTAGATTTGATTGACATCTTAATGGATCATGATAATTATTTTCACATAAACTGCAGAGAAGAGCCTACTGAAAAAGCTCTGAGCATCCTCCGAGCATGCTCGGAGCTTCCTCGTAAGAATAAATCTATGATCCCTAACAAAGTATGAAGGATCCAGGTCTTCTACCTTCTGAAATATTAAGCTTTTAAAAAGTTTGTTATGTTGAGCTTTCTGTGACAGAAGTCGCAGGCTCGACAAAAACCAGAAGATTCTGAATAGCACATAAAAAGTCAAAAACAAGATAAGCAAACAACCTTAAAAGGCATTTCTTTATAGTTTCCAATACATTAAACATTTCTATCAAATTCTTACAACTATACATACATTTCTCTGTTCTTTCATGCATTTGTTGTGTGTAACATGGACACAAACAAAAAACATGACTCTAAAACTACGCAAAATATTTTCTTTGAACAAATATAAAAACTCAAACACATCATATGAACATGATGAAAGTGAATTTGATCTTAGTTCTTGCATATTACTGTTTACAATAATTTAGATGGTTGGATGTAATAACATTAACGCTACCAATTTTTCTGCACCAGTTGCGCATTTCAACAATTAATGTTGCAGTGATGCTCGTGACCAAAATATTTGAAAATCCATAGCTTATTAAAAAGATGAAGAGCTATAATCTAAAAAGGTAATGTAACATTTACACAAATTTTTTTTTTAAATTGAATATCAAGAAAACTAAACAGTTCAATCTTCAGCAAAAATACTTGAAGTTGAAATGGATTGAAAGCAAGTTTCAAGCACTTCTAATGTGCACAAGTAGGTAACTTCAAGTATGTCTAGTGATTTTAAAGTTTTCCATCTTGTATTATTAAATATTCAAATGCTTTTGAATTACTTGTGTATTCAGATTTACTTTGAATGAGCTGCATTGGGACTTAAGTGTTCCATACTTATACTTGTGAATGATACTATCAAAATTTCTTTAGAAAGCTTTTTCTTAGCCCTTGTTTCGTTGTATTTTAGTTTTCGTTTCAAATTGATTTCTTTCTTCTTTTCTACTGTTTCTCCCAAACGTGATTCTCTCTTCTTTATTCTCCAATACATTCTTTTTTCTTCTTCTTTACCATTTTTTACCTTTTTTTCTTCTGCTTTCTCTCTTCTTATCTTAGGTTTCACTGTTTTCTGTTTTTCCTTCAATCTTGCACGATAATTATGCATCCGTATCTTTGCCCGTTCATTGGCATTTTTTCTTTTTTCTTCAGACATTGAAAGTCTGTAAATCTTTGCTCTTATTGCTTCACTTGCTCGATATGTCTCAAGTTTCCCTTTTTTAGCTAGGTTTGATAGTGTTGAAGAATATTTCAGAGATCCCACCCAGCAGTTATAAGATCTCTCCTGGCAGCTATTTTTGTCATTGTCTTTTTTTTTTTCTTTTTCTAAGTTTCATACAGGCTGCAAACAAAAACAACATAATTAATTTTGCAAGGACCATGCTTGACCAATCTGTGTGAGGCCTGAAGATACACATTTTCAAAGCAATTTATATTTTCTTTAATCTTAACACCAAGAATTAATTCAGGATGTGCTTTAAGTATAAGTTAGATTTCATGGTATTATAAAAAATGGCAAAATTTATTGCATAACTACGATGAAAATGGTGTTGTATACAAAACATGTGGATAAAAATAAATTTACCAGATTCAATTACCATGTTAGAGGATAGGAAAGAAAGTCATGCAACTGTAAATGGTTATCTACCAAAATGTCATAAGAGCATAATCGTAAGGTTAAACTTTAAAAAATATAGAATTGTTTTAGGAAAAGTAGTATTTTTAGGGAACTTTGACACAAAAATAACTTAAATTTACTTACCCAATATATTTATTAAACTCAATTGCATTAGTAAGAATAACGACAACCAAATCACACCTTTGATGACACGTTTCTTCAAATTTCACGTTACGGTTTTAGACAGGAAAATTATGTACAGTTGGTAATTTCCATTTGTATGTTCATGAAAAAATGCTCAGGCGCTGTACAATGACACTTTTATTCAAAAGATTGGTCATTCTAAAATTGGTTTACAGCAACATCTCAATGATATTTCCTGAAACTTGTCACAAATACAAATAAAGCTTTCTTATTGCCAGAATGATACGGAAGTTTGTGTTGAAATTCTAGCACAAAAATGTTTCTCAAAATCTGTGATAAAAAAAAAAATTTTTACCCATATTTTTGTCAAAATTTTTAAAATGTGCATACAAATTTGGATATCAGTTGATGCAATCTGGACTTATATATTGTACAACATAGAAATACAAACAAAAGGACACACAGAGTGATTACTATAGGGCACTTGCTGACTAGTCCACGTGGCCCTAATTACTACAGAAAATAAACTGGACAACATTGAATTCTAGTTCCCTTAAGGTACTTAAGTTGAAGGCCTTACCAAAATTAAATTCCGACATTAAAGTTTGGTCTTTTATCATGAATTTCCATCGTTCCTTCAATTGGTCAACTGTTCTAGAAGTGTTCAAATCTTCCTTGATGATATTCCAGTTTCCATACCCATGCTTTTTCACTTGCTCATAAAAATCCCTGGTTTCTTCAAAACTCCATTCAATAATTTGCTGTTTAGTTGCAGGCGAAATTGAATCTTCTGTGCCAGTTTGTTCACTGACTGTTATGAAAGATTGAATATATATATAAATATGTTAAAATATCTTACTGAATTATTCTGATCTCTTATTTAATAATATATAATCAGTAATGTTTTTAATACTTGAATTAAGTTCATTTTCTTGTTTGAATTGTTATACATTTGTCATTTCACGGCTTTATAAAGCTTGCTATTAGGTATGGTTTTTGCTCTTTGTTTGTACTCACATGAGCAACAAGACGGGTTCCACTTGTGGTACCGGTGCAGGATCAACTTACCCTTCGGGAGCACCTGAGATCACCACCAGTTCTTGATGGAGTTTGTGTTGCACAGTCTTTAGTTTTCTATGTTGTGTTTTGTGTAATGTTGTTTGTCTTTTCATTGTTTTTTCCTTTTTTTGCCATGGCGTTGTCAGTTTGTTTACCATTTATGAGTTTGATATCCCTTTGGTATCTTTAGCCTCTCTTTAAATTTGAAGGCTGTATGATGACCTATTGTAGCTAACTTCTAGGTCATTTGGTCTCTGCTTGAGAGTTGTCTGATTGGCAATCATACCACATCTGCTCAGTTTTATATAAGATAAATTGTATGAATGTGTGCAAAATTGCTGATTCCCTTCCTACTCACCAACATCCGTTTTAATGAAACAGCCGTGACCATTTTGAGGTTGCATTTTCTGTCATCAGATTTTTTAGTAAAATTTTGTGTACTTGTCTTTGCATTATTTTTCCTTTAGGCCATATGGTGTTGCCTAACCATTGATACATATTTTAACTGCCCTTTTGGTATCTTGATACTTTTTCAAAATGTCAACTTATGGTTTCTAAAAGATACTGAGAAAACCTTGAATTTCATACTTTTTTCAAATGTCAAGTTATAGTTTCTATGAATGATGCTGAGAACATTTTGAACTCAATATTTTTTTAAAATGTCACATCCATGATATTAAGGTTTCTATATGATACTGAGAAAGTCTTGAACTTATTCTAAGTGTTACCTGTATTCTGAACTGTACCACTAACAGTTTCTAAGCAATCAAGTACTACAACTTCTGTTGAAGGATCAGTCACTTCTTCCTTTATTGACCCTAGGTTTGCCTCTTCATCCAAAGTTTTGTCCATATTTTGACTTTCTTTTTTTGGTGACTCTTTCGATGAAGCTCCACTTCTCGATCTTAATCCTAAATAAGAAGAAACACAGCTTATTACAATTACTATCTCACTGCAAAAAATGGAAATGATGCAACTAAAAAGACATTTGTTCTTTATACACATGTAAAGTGTGCACTTCTCCAAGCACTTCTCATTTCTGTACCAAGTCAGGAATATGACAGTTGTTTTCCAATCGTTTGATGTGTTTGAGCTTTTGCTTTTGCCATTTGATAAGGGACTTTCCATTTGGAATTTTCTTTTGAGTTTGATATTTTTGTTATTTTACTTTTTCTATAGATTTAATTTTTTAGGCATATACAAATTTTTTCGTGGATTGGGGACAAAGGAGAAGGGGCAATAAGGCCCTTATTTGGCCCAAATATTACTGCAAATCTAAAAGTTATCATACATATTCTTAAATGTGTCCAATCTAGACTAAGGTACAAGGTATTCAGAAAATAAAAATAAATTTCACATTGAACGAGTTACCATGGCAACAAACCATGACACAATTTGCATATTTTGTAAAATTTCTTGATTTTCTTTGTTTTTCATCAAATTTTAGGTATAATTTAGATAGGAAAAGTATGTGCGCACCCAAGAAACAACTTTATATTTGGTGGGATTATGTCAATAGTTATAAAAATTTGTAAGGGTTCTGCGGAACCCAGTGTCTCATCTGCTTTTGCTGTTAATCACAGGCTCAACAAAAATGAGGAAAAAAATTAATAAAAATATTCCTGTCTATACTATCTTTTGATTGTAAGTAGCTTCTGTCCAAATTTGGTAAAAATCCAGGATAGTTTATGAATCTAATAAATGTTTTAAAAACTTAAACTGCAGACTGTATGTAATGTTAACTGAAAGAAAAACTAAGTCCATTTATAAGTAAAATACGGAAATAATGAAACAAAATTTTAACAAAATTTCCTTCTAAATACTAGCTTTTAATCATAAACAAGCTTCTGTCCAAGTTTGGTACAAATCCAGGATAGTTTAAGAAAGTTGTTAAAATTTTAAAAACTTTAACCACAGAGTGAATGTAATGTTAACTGGCAGAAAAACTAAGTCCATTTATAAGTAAAATACAGAAAAAATGGAATTTTTTTTTTACCAAATTTACTTCTGGATACTAGCTTTTAATCATAAACAAGCTTCTGTCCAAGTTTGGTACAAATCCAGGATAGTTTAAGAAAGTTGTTAAAATTTTTAAAACTTTAACCACAGAGTGAATGTAATGTTAACTGGCAGAAAAACTAAGTCCATTTACAAGTAAAATACGGAAAAATGGAATTTTTTTTTTACAAAATTTACTTCTGGATACTATCTTATGATCATAAACAAGCTTCTTTTCAAGTTTGGTAGAAATCCAGGATAGTTTAAGAAAGTTATTAAAATTTCAAAAACTTTAACCACAGAGTGAATGTAATGTTTCCTGGCAGAAAAACTAAGTCCATTTATAAGTAAAATACGGAAAAAATTGAATTTTTTTTTTACAAAATTTACTTTGGAATATTATCTTATGATCATAAACAAGCTTCTGTCCAAGTTTGGTAGACATCCAGGATAGTTTAAGAAAGTTATTAAAATTTCAAAAACTTTAACCACAGAGTGAATATTTGTGGACGCCGCCGACGACGACGACGCCGCCGACGGAATGTAGGATCGCTATGTCTCGCTTTTTCGACAAAAGTCGAAGGCTCGACAATAAAGCTTCTCCTTAATTATTGTGTTGTTTCTTGGCTGTGCATGATGTTTCCACAATGGAAATAATGATGGAAAACTGCGTAAATTCTGTATTTTTCATCGTTTTTGTGAAAACGGTACATATTATGACGTAATTGTGACGTCAACAGATCAAAAGCTTTACGTTTTTCATTTATATTTCTTGACCCTATGAATTTCCAAACAGAATATGCCAATTTAAAATAGTTGTCAAACATTTTATTTTCTTGGGCCAAAACCAGGCTTTAATGCCCCTACTCCTTTTAAGTTCTTGGGTATTTGATTTCATGGTTTTTCCAAAGTCTGCATCGATTCTACTATAGAAAATTTGTTCTTCATTGAACATTTAAATTTGTGGTTTACTTATACCCACAAAATCCATGTAAATTGGTATCCCACAGTAAATCCACAGTATACTAGGTGTTCTCCCCAGTATACTATATAACTCGGTGTTCTCCCCAGTATTCTATAACTCGGTGTTCTCCCCAGTATTCTATAACTCGGTGTTCTTCCCAGTATTCTCAAATAGCATCATTGGATTTTGAAATAGCACTGTTTCCCCAAAACTAAAGCACCACATTTATTATACATAGTATTAGAAATCTTTTCAAATAGAACCATTTCCATTGGAGAGTTGTCTTATTGGCAATCATACCACATCTTCTTATTTTTATATTGAACTACCTCAGACCGTTCAATTATTTACCATCTGCACACACAAAACCTACCGGACACATAACGAAAGAAATCTTGGATCATCATGCTCTGAGAGTCCAACCATTTCAGTCCAATATCTGATCCCATTACAAAACATGTCGTCTGTTCTATATTCACCGTCACAAAAAATGATTCTTCTCCCTTCTCAGACAAATCTTTACACTGAAAACATGGTTAATAATAATGAATAAATACATGTACTATATATATTCTTAGAAAACTTGACTTCTATCATTGTATAGTTTTTGGTGGGGTTCATGTCGCTCAATCTTTAGTTTATTTTTTATATTTTTAAAAACTTCTTAAAACATTCTTATTAACATGATTAGCATGATAAATAAATCAACAAAAAAATAATTAAAAGAATTTTCCCTTTTTCATGTGTTCTTAACATAATTTTGTGGTAAAACAATAAGATCAGAAAATGTTGTTGCAGGAGTTAAGCATGTTTAGTCTAAATTAAAAGAACATGGTTTGTTCATTAGCTGAACTTGGGATCTGATCAAGATTTCAGTGATCAGTAACTGTGAGCATGGTGAGTGTTCTCCCCAGGGCCATAAAGGACCGCGGGCCCGCGATGTATATTTTTTTACCGTGGTGGTATCGTTCTTACCGCGATGTATTATATTTCTCCGTGGTGCTAAAATTTTTAGTTAAAAAATCGAAAATCGGTAAAGTTTTAAACGACTTGTTAAATCTTTTCCGTGCGATATAAAATTCCAGGTGAAATTTGACCAGTTCAAACCAGTTCAGATTGTTTACACCACGTGATTGATTTAACTTTATGAGGATAACCTTTATTGATTGGATGTTAATAATCAATGTAATTAACACTTGTAAAATGATTCTTTTGTGTTTTAATTATGAGGTCATAACTTTATGATCGTAGATAACTATTTTATGGCTTCACTCACCCAATGACAAGTCGGCAAATACTTTGTACACAAACCGTGTTGACCCGATAGTTATACACACGACGGTACACATTTTGTACATTATAAAGTTGGCTCATTACATATAATTGACCATTATACACTTCTCAATACTTATATAATAGTAATATGTCTCTGATTAAACCATGGCCAAATTATCTTCAATTTTGACATAGTTTATATTGCATGATATTCCGGTTTCAAACTATCATAGTATCTGTCAACAAGTAATTCAAAGGGGACGGATCACATGACCCAGTTAGTTAACATAGAATACCCAAGATTATTTACAATTAACTGCAATCTATTCTATTTTATAAATAAAATGCATGACTGTACCTTCAAACTGGATATCTATATCCATATGAAAAGTAATGAATAACAGAAGTGATTTGCAAATTTTATCCATAAGCACATGTTAAATCTATTTATATCTACTTCCTGTCATTTAGGCGGGAAAATAGGGAGACTTAGTTGTTGACATTGAATAGGGTTACTTATAGATCTATAGAACTAGGATAAATTTATAGATTTCGGAATTCTTTTTAAATGGATCATGCCAAAAAAAGATTTAGATTTCAGTGCAGTATTAAGTCTGTATCTATGTTTGATTATCACTAAAGACAAGAAAAGTTAATATTTACATGAAATCTAAGGCAAAATGTTTTGAAATTTATTAAAAATTTCTGTTTATTAAAATTTAAGATAGAAACTGGTTCAAATAATAATATAATATTTATTCTTGTTAATTTTATATCTCCTTATGACAGGAATCCTTTCACAATACAACATCTTTCATTCTAGAAATAAGAAAGTTTTTTAAATTGAACATTTTTGTTCTCTTTTGAATGATAATTTTTTCTTATTGATCATTGATTTTATAAAAGATTTAATAACTTTAAATTTAGATGAATATTTTGTAATGTATCATGTTTTATTTATTTTTAAAAAATATTAAAGTATACATGTCAAACTGTTTATTGATTTACTTCTTTTTTACCAATAATTTTCAATGTCTACATAATACAGTACCACAGTTTTAAAACAAAACAGGAGACATAAAAACTACAGTTACTAGAAATATAGCTAAGCGACGCGACGCGGTGCGACACAACTGATTGTATGAATCATTTCACCAAGCAGTCCAAACGCGTTACCCTGGTGCTATCCAAAAATCCTGGGGAGAACACTGGGATTGGTACTTTGTATCTTTTGTCTTTTTCTTATTTCTTTTTGTATTGTGTACTGATCTTATTTTTCAACTAATTTCTATAGTTTTCTTGTCACAGGCAGTCAGGGGTAATACTTATACATGTTATACAACTCATGTTAAACTTATTTACTTGAAGATGTAATATTTACTTGTATTTGTAAATTTGTAAGATTTTTTATTTCATTTTCAAGGTTTATCTCCCCTTAATCTTCTCCAAAAATTTACTTTATATATACAAGTAAGTTTTTTTACAACCCCTTATATTCTCAAGTTTTTGGAGGTCAAAACATGCCTGGTTTGCTTATTATTTTTTAATAAGGGTTAATTAGAGTTCACCCTTTTATTTCAAAAACCAAACAAAGAAATATATTGCGCACAGATGTTAAGTAACTATGTAAGACCTTCAAAAATGGCTCCCAAGAGGGTTGTAAATGAGCAGTATTTCTAATACCACTGCAAAATATTTGTGGCCGTATAATGGTAAAGGTATGTGCACTCACAAACATGTTTAGCCCCACCACATTCTGAATGTTCCTGTCTGAAGACAGGAGCCTGTAACGAGTGCAGGCTGTCATTGGTTGTTTATGCCTGTTCGTGTCACAAGTCAGAAGCCTGTAACAAGTGTTGTCATTGGGTGTTTATGCCTGATCCTGTCCCAAGTCAGGAGCCTGTAACAAGTGGTTGTCATTGGGTGTTTATGCCTGATCCTGTCCCAAGTCAGAAGCCTGTAACAAGTGGTTGTCATTGGGTGATTATGCCTGTTCCTATCCCAAGTGAGGAGCCTGTAGCAAGTGGTTGTCATTGGGTGTTTATGCATGTTCCTATCCCAAGTCAGGAGCCTGTAACAAGTGGTTGTCATTGGGTGTTTATGCCTGTTCCTGTCCCAAGTCTGGAGCCTGTTATTAGTGTTGTCATTGGGTGTTTATGCATGTTACTAACCAAAGTCAGGAGCCTGTAACAAGTGGTTGTCATTGGGTGTTTGTGCCTGTTCCTGTCCAAAGTCTGGAGCCTGTAACTAGTGTTGTCATTGGGTGATTATGCATGTTCCTGTCCAAAATCAGGAGCCTGTAACAAGTGGTTGTCATTGGGTGTTTATGCCTGTTCCTGTCCAAAGTCAGGAGCCTTCAACAAGTGGTTGTCATTGGGTGTTTATGTCTGTTCCTGTCCAAAGTCAGGAGCCTGTAACAAGTGGTTGTCATTGGGTGTTTATGTCTGTTCCTGTCCAAAGTCAGGAGCCTGTAGTGAGTGGTTGTCATTGGGTTTTTAAACCTGTTCCTATCCCAAGTCTGGAGCCTGTTACTAGTGTTATCATTGGGTGTTTATGCCTGTTCCTGTCCAAAGCCAGGAGCCTGAAACAAGTGGTTATCATTGGGTGTTTATGCCTGTTCCTGTCCCAAGTCAGGAGCCTTTAGCGAGTGGTTGTCATTGGGTGTTTATGCCATTATTGTATATTTTGTATTTCGTTAATTGTTGTAGTATAAATCAGGCTATTGGTTTTCATTTTTAAACTGGATCTTTCATAGCTTACTATACAGTATAGGATTTTCTCACTGTTGAAGGTCATACAGTTACATATGATTCCTCACATTTTTGTCTTTGCTTTTATTTATGGATAGTTGTCATATTTTGCAATTATACAATTACCGGTATGGTGACTTGTGGTTAGCTGTAGGCTATTTTGACATAGGGATTGATGGATGGCTGTTTAGCCTCCAGTGGCAAACTAATGCATATTCAGGATGAGAACATGTTAATGCATTATGAAAATTAACCCTGATTCGTACTTAGTATACCAACACGCTGAGTCAGATTTCCTAGGTGTTGGTTCACAAGGTATCAGTCTGCAGGAAGACATTATTCTGACTCCAAGCTAAGTAGACCACTTTTTAATGTTGTGCGCTTAAAACTAAGCAGAGAAGCAGCACATGTGTACACAAAACCACTGAGGCAGTTATACATGTATGTATGTATATCTAAAACTTACTATGTCATTAACTTTGTTTTTTAGCTGGTTTAGCTCATTCATTTTCTGTTAGCATTTATGCCAGTCCAACTGGAAAATACATGAGACAAAATATAAATTAATATCATTCAAAAATACAGGTTGTTTTCAGGGTAAACATGGTAAAATTTTACGAGTCTGACAATCATCGATTTCTATAAATTAGTTAAGATAAAGAAGATATTGTGCACTTTACATGTAGATTCTTAGACATATATAGCTGATGTAGTTCACTTGGACATGATTTTAAGAACAACCAATCCATGAAATATAAATGATCTTTTCCTCTGAAACTGAATAACATAGAAAAACAAAGACTATGGGGTATCCATCCAGGACACAAAATCAGTACATGCACAGTAAAAAAAACATGTATGTATGTGCACATGTTTTCAACATGTTATTTTGAAAACAAAAAAATGTCATTTTATTAATCATGTTTATCATATTTATATCTTTAGCTATCTTTAAAGCCCTTTTGGTAGAAAATTTTACTGGAATTATGTGCAAACTTTGTACTCAGATCTTTTTAACAACTGATTACTGGTAACTGATGAGGATCTAGATGGGGTCTTGATAAATTTCACATGTGACATGTGCCCATCGGACTACTGTGATGAAAATTTTACTAGCCCTCCCTAATTTTTACTAGCTTTGGGCCAGCTGACTAGCGTTAGTATCGAATATATTGAAGTCGTCATTATTGAGAGCCTATATATCATCCAAATATCTAAAAGTGTTATTAAATTTTTGTGTCAGATGTTGTTTCGATGGGTCTTTGCATTTGCTGATTTTAATCATAAATTGTAACTCATAGCAATAACAGGTCTGCAACAAGTGGTGCATAGTTAGTCCCCATTATTATATACAATAAAATGCTCCGCTGGGGCGCAGCTTGATACGACCGCAGAGGTCAAACCCTGAACAGTTGGGCCAAGTATGGACACAACCTTCAAGCTTGATACAGCACTGAATTTGGATTGTAATTAAATATTTGACACAGCATAGGTTTCTCACACAGAATGAAAGTGGTCTAAGAACTTAAAAAATTTTAATTTACCTATTCAAACCATATAATTATTATTTGCTTTTATATATAAATCAAAAATAACCAATTTAAAATGGAAAATTTTAAAGAAAAAAAAAGGAAAAAAAAATCCCCCCCCCCAATTTTTTGAACCCCCTTATGATTCATCACCCCAAACTCAATCCCAGCTTTCCCTTTGTGGTATGGTACCTTGCAGTACAATTTCAGAGAGATCCATACACTTGAACACAAGTTATTGTCTGGAAACTAGAAAAATGCTTGTTTTTTGGCCCCTTTTTGGCCCCAAATTCCTAAATGTTTAGGGCAATTACCCCCAAACTCAAACCCAGCTTTCCCTTTGTGATATGGAACCTTGCAGTACAATTTCATAAAGATCCATACACTTACACACAAGTTATTGTCCTAAAACTAGAAAAATGCTTGTTTTTTTGCCCTTTTATGGCCCCTAATTACAAAACTTTTGAGGGAATTACCCCCAAAATCAATCCCAGCCTTCCCTTTGTGGTATGGTACCTTGCAGTACAATTTCAGAGAGATCCATACATTTGAACACAAGTTATTGTCTGGAAACTAGAAAAATGCTTATTTTTGGCCCCTTATTCCTAAACTTTTTCGGCAATTACCCCCAAACTCAATTCCAGCTTTCCCTTTGTGATATGGAACCTTGTAGAACAATTTCATAAAGATCCATACACTTACACACAAGTTATTGTCATGAAACTAGAAAAATGCTTGTTTTTTGCCCCTTTTTGGCCCCTAATTCCTAAAATATGGAGGCAATTACCCCCAAAATCAATCCCAGCATTCCCTTTGTGATATGGAACCTTGTGATACAATGTCAGAGAGATCCATACACTTACACACAAGTTATTGTCATGAAACTAGAAAAATGCTTGTTTTTTGCCCCTTTTTGGCCCCTAATTCCTAAAATTTGGAGGCAATTACCCCCAAAATCAATCCCAGCATTCCCTTTGTTATATGGAACCTTGTGGTACAATGTCAGAGAGATCCATACACTTACACACAAGTTATGTCTGGAAGTTACAAAAATGCTTATTTTTTGCCCCTTTTTGGCCCCTAATTCCTTAACTGTGGGTACAATAACCCCCAAAATCAATCCCCACCTTCCTTTTGTGGTATTGAACCTTATGGTAAAATTTCATTGAGATCCATTCACTTAAACTTAAGTTAGAGTGCGAAAATTAATGTGTCTTCGGATGACGACGACGACGTTAACGTCATACCAATATACGACCACAAAATTTTTTTTGCGGTCGTATAAAAAACTTTTTCATTTCATGTATCTTGTTCAGGGCATCTGCATATGAACTTTTTCCATGACCTAGACCATTTGAATTAGTGTAAGCATTATTATATACAAAAAACTTGTGTATTACATGTATCTTGTTCAGGGCATCTGTATATGAACAAAATCCTTAGTTGCATATACATGTATATGCTTTTCAATTTTTGCAACCATAAAACATAATCATAATTTTCAAAGCTTGAATACAATATACATGATAAATAAAAATATAAAAGGAGTCTGCATCATAAAATGGACAGTACTGAATTACTAACATGACTAACATAACATGCATAATGTGGAGTCAGAATGTTCAGTGACCACAACTTAAAAACACCTATTCAGGACAATATTTTTTTACATATTATGTACAAATGATGTATGACCATGATAACCGTGTTAATATTATTTAATAAAGTTGAATATGAACATCTTTACCTCTTTCCTTGACAATCACATAAACAATAAACATGATTCAGAGATAAAAGAACTTTGGTAGAGTTGTCACATTGACAATCATCACCACATTATCATGATTATATTCTAAAATTTATATTGAATTTTGATAGCATATATATATACATATTTTGAAATCTTCAAATGCACAACAAATTCTTAACCATGAATTTGAACCTTTTCCAGCTGGCATGAGCTTATAATATTGTATAACTATAAACAGAGACATATAATACAAGAGATTCGCAACTCTAGTAGAGTCTATATAACAGCCAATGAAATGACGTGGCCACCGGAAAGCCGATTATTCCGATGGATTTATGGGTAAAAACCGCTATTGTTGTGAAAAAGGTTCTACGCCTCACAATTTTTCTAATGGATAATGCCGATACCTTTCACAGCTAAAGCATGCAAGTATATTTAAAAGTAACAAAAAACTAATTCAAATAATTTGTTATTGATAAAATGTGTTCTAATGATGAGATTAATCATATACAAAGTTAAAACTCGGCCCATTTTACTTCACCTAATTGCCATAGAAACCATTTGATCTCCCAATTTTTTTCTTAAAACTTGGAAATATGCTAATAAATATATAATTTTATGGGGCAATAATACTCCCAAATGTTGTTTCGTGAAAATAAGACTATTTTCGTAAAATTTGATCCAATAGTGGTTTTTTTTCAAAATATCAACAAATGTGGCGATTTTTTCTTATTGATACCTGAAGCCAGCTGTGCTGGTACTATCATTTTATCTCGTAAAACTTGGAAATGTGCGAATAAATATTCAATTGTATGGGGCTATATTACTCTCAGATGGTATGTCATGAAAATAAGACCAGTTTCGTAAAATTTGATCCAACAGTTATTTCTAAAAATATCAACAAAGGTGACTACTGCGGATTCATTTATTTTCGTGGGTACCAATTTTCGTGGTTTTAGGCAAACATGCCTTTTCGTGGATATTTAATTTCGTGGTTTTGGAAAAGTCTGCATACATTTCTTTCGAAAATTTGTAATTCGTTGAACATTTAAATTCGTGGTTCCCCTGTACCCCTCGAAATCCACGAAAATTGGTATCCAACGAATACAAATGAATCCACAGTATTAGTTTGTTATTTATACACAAAGCCAGCTATGCTAATTTTATCAATCTGTTTCGTCAAAACTAGAAATTTACAAATAAATATGTCATATTGTGGGGATATATATTTCTCCCATTTTTTTAAAAAAAAAATTTATTTTTTCTTTATTAAACTGGCTAAATATTGAAATTGTTCATGGACAAATTTCCTTAAATCAGTCCTTCATTTTTGTGCACAATGAAATTTATAGCGTGCATTTTGTTAGACAATTTATTCATTTTTCATTCTGTTTATGGCAAAGTTGTTTATTTTCTGCTATTCTGAAGTCATTGTTTTTTTTCTTCTTTTTAGGGTGCCAAAGATGAACGAATGCAGTAAAATTTACAAAAGGAGTAAAATTTTCCTAGTAAAGGAAACCTCCTGCTGGTCGTAATATTATGAATGGGCTTCATGCATCTGTTGTCGTTTCAGACTACGCTTCTCATTCAAAACATGAACCTATATCTTTTTTAAATTAAAATTGATTGAGGACATTTCAATGGTGACTGCAAAAGATATATATATATATATATATATATTTGATAATAAAAGATTTTATTAACACTAATGATTTGTATATGTATACACATAAACAATCCTACTTTTAAACTGCCATCTCTTTACCCCAGAATAAAAAGACAAAAACCACTACAAATGATTAAAAGACAAAAACCATAACAAATGATTGTCTCGTTGAAATAAGGTTATAAAATACTTTTTAAATAGTGTCTTCCCTTTTGCTTTGATGTATGACCTCGGCTCCCACTTCAATGTTGTGTTTTTTTTTATAGATTTTTTGTTGCTTCGAGGACACACATATCCATCTATGTATGCAGTATTGTCAATTGTTTTTGTTGGTGGGTCTCTCGTTTATGTTTTCGTCCTTTTCACTAACAACAAAGAGTTCGTTATCAGTTTATTCAACTAGGAGTATATCTAAGTCGTAACTATTAAGATTGTCATCCCACGAAATAAAATCGGAATTTTCCATATTGCGTGCACATGAAGGAAGCTTTATTCAAATGAGAAATTAATTGTTATTTTCTTAAATATTAATCTCAATACACACTTCGAACATGAAGAAACCATAAATTTACCGACAATCATTTAAAAAACAACTCAATGCAAGCCTATGATGAAACTGTCAAACAACACTTAGGAATCAAACATTTACCGACAATTCTACAGAAAAAACTCAATGCAAGCCCAATTAATGATGAATATAAAAAAAAAAAATTTTAATAATCTAAAAATTTCAAGAATAAAAAACAAAGCCTATCATGATTAACAATTAATTAACAAATAAATTAAGTTTTTTCCACATTAATTAATTTTACATTTTGTGAATTGTATTTTTGGAAAGAGTGTGGACACCTGTGGTGTAACAACTTCTTGTTTACAAGGTGTCAATTAAAACTCATTATTTATAACATGTTCGTGATTTACCTGGTCATCGAATAATTCAAACCTAATATACATGTCACACTGTAAAATTATGTCTCCGAGACAGGTGTATATTCAATAGAAACCCATTGTGTAACTATCAAATAAAATGAACTCTGACACAATTTATCAAGTGTTAATTATTTAATATCAGTTCAATAATGTATGTACTCAAATTATTTAATTAATTATGATAAATTTAACACTGAAACAGTTTATGTTATGCTTAAACATTCGTCCTTACTTCGAGTACTTTTAATACTTTTATTAATGACTTTATTACCTAAGGAGATCTCGCGAGGTTTAACTAGTGGCCGCGTGTTATTACGGGATTTCGCCGAGTTGCGAATCTCTTGTATTATATGTCTCTGCTATAAAGCAGAAAAAACATATTTTTTTCTTGAATGAACTTTGATTCTTTGATTGCTGTGTTAATTGTCAGGTTGTTAAAAAAACATGTTAGTTTTTGCAAGGTTATTTGTTTTCATTGTTTTTTATGAAGGGGTATTATTTTCTTTTTCTTTTTGAAACCTTGGAAAGATCTTAGTGTAAATTATTTGTGTAAAGAATGTTCTAAGATCAATTTATCATGAAAACTCTGAACTGAAACAATTTTTTTATGGAGTGCAAATCTTTTTACAGTTGTATCTGTTTTCCGTAATAGTTGATCTGTAACTGTAAAACAGATCGAAATGTACATAGGACAATTATAAATTTTCTATGAGAGTACTGAATTATGTTGTCCCCTCATTGAACCTCTATTTCTCCCCGTAACAAATTTTTGTAAATGTGGGTCAGCTAGTCGTGATCGTCATACAACAATATGAACAACCACATGCACATAATTGTTATTGTATTAGACATTTTTAGTTTATTTTTACGAAAATGATGGATTGTGTATGCTTGCATCATGTAAAAATGCTTTGTTTTACCATATGAAAATTGATATCAAATGGAAAAGTATGGCGCTCAAAGATATTTTCTGCAGAGGAAGTAGACAAATATCAGAGACGGAAAGGGTGACTTATTTGCGGGATAAGATACAAAAAAAAACACAATTAATAGACTTTATATTTTTTCTGAACTTGCATTCAAAATCAAATCCAAAAATGATGATATGATATATCTATTTTTTTATGTGAATAGGTTCAAAAACTGCATTTCAAAAGTTCCCATTCATGCCGGAAGTACCCATTTTCCATTCCGGCTTGTTTAATATTTAGAAACTAAAGTGACCTCGGAATTTTGGTTTGTAATTTTGCCTCTGTTTTCTTTCTTAACTTTACCTGCATCCATTAAATATCATGTTTTCTGAAAACATTAACTCAATTTGAAAAATAGGAAAGAGGTTTAAACATTCATTAAAGCTAAACTTTGACACTGAAACACATTTTGATGAAGAAGGAAGGTGACGCCATGACATCAGAGAATTAACACTATATTGTGAATAAACTTAAAGTGAGGGTGTAGATACAAATATATATGCATGATACATCATGTACATAGTCAGATATTAAATCTAAATTATAAAAGTTAATACGTTTGAACTATCCTATTGTTAGAGATATAAAGCCATAATACATTCTTAAAGAACATGTAATCTAGTCCACAGCCACTTGTCAACTGACTTGTGTTTCTATGACTATGATTATGAATCCGGGTCCGTTCACCCATTCACGTTCGCCCCCTTTCACTTTCGCACCCTACACGGTCGCACCCAAAGTCTGTTCGCACCCTACACGTTCGCACCCTTTTTATTGGTTTTGTGTTTAATAATATTGTAATACACCTTATCGCTATTCCCGCTTGACCCGAGAATCTGTCCCGCTTGAACTTTTGACGTCATACAGCAATCACTTTTCCATTGTGGCGTCAGATATTTTCTATTATGACGTCAAAATTTTACGGGAACTTTTGTGATGTCCAGTAATGGCGGACAAATAGCGATAAGGTGTATTGAGTTTTGTAAGTGTATTGTTCATGTTGTTATAAATATTTTTTTTCATTGTTTTAAAATAAAGTGAGATTCTGACAATGTTTTTTTTTTTTATTGTGCTGAATAAATCTTTAATTATGTTTTGGTTAGTGTCTTGTTATACATTTTTTTTTCATTGTTTCAAATTAAGTGAGATCTAATCATGCTAGTTAAGGGGCCAAGCTGCTAAAAACAATTATCTTTCATGTTTTTCATTTAAAATCTTCAATGTTTTACTCATCTCATACCAAGCTATAAATACATGCCTTAGTTACATCAAAGCAAGTTAAAACAACAAACAAACAACCATACAAAAGTTAGCTTTGTATATACCAATTAGCAGTTTTCATACATAATTAACATTTAATGAATAAATTAAATCATGGAAAAAAACAACATGTATTGGTATAGAATATCTAATAAGTCAAGGATTTGGATTCACTATACAAATCCTTGAATAAATCAACTGGAATTTGATTAAAAATTGGGTGCGAACATGTAGATTGCGAAAGTGTATTGGGCGCGAATGGACCTGATACCTGTTTCTACACATTAGTCCATTTGGAGGTCAACTATCCATAAATGATCATAAATATATTATGAATAGTCGACCTCCCAATGGATAGAAGCAAGTGCCTGTGGTCTAGCCTTAATAAATAACATATTTTTGATATTGTGCTGTGAGGTGTAGCAATGGAGTCAAGCTCTGTTGAGTAAATGTGATAATCATGATAATACATAATTTACTTTAAAACAGACTTGGAATCCATTCCTGCATGAGGGTTGTACTGGGGGTACTTTCATGATGAATAACGGTAAAAAATCTTGCGAAATGACGTTAATGATAATTATGATGCCTGACGATAAAATGTACATTTTCTTTATGACTCTAAAAAAATCGACTGATCCCCATTTTGATATGCTAGATAATAGTCCCAGTGTTGATGGATCATGATAAATTCTTTTCAAAAATAACAGTAATGGATAATTATTCATGTTATTTGAGAGACCTGTGACAAATCATGATAAGGAATTTTTGACGAATCACTATAAATTTTTAACCAATTTGACGTAAACAGTTGCTGAACATGCTGAAAATGACCGTTTGACAGCGGCATTCCTTCACTCCTATGCATATGTCACTAAAGGAAAGATCATCATAATTTTCAAAGTCCCGTTTATTTTTAACAGTAAATGAATGAAAAAAGGTGAAAAAATCCTGAGTTTACAAAACTTGTAAATGAATTATATAAAATATACAGTAAATCAAGGATTTGTATAGTCACTATACAAATCCTTGAGTAAATTAATATTTAAGTCCTAAAGAATTGTGCAATCAACACCAATTGTTTCAAATAATCAAAAATATTACAATCAGTCAGGGGTACTACTTGTACAAGTAATTTTTATTTACTTGAAGAAGTAAATAAAATATACTTATATAAGTTAATTTGTATGATACTTATACAAGTGTATTTTATTTACTTGTATCAGTAAATTATTTTTTGGCCTAGTTATGTCCCTTAGACATTCATATTTTTTTTATTTATACATGTTATACAAGTAAAAAAGTCATCCTATCTTCTTTTCTTGAATTCTTAGAACTTCTTTGCTCTAACAGAATTTTGAATTGTCTGTCCTTTGCAGGTGTCTTAACTAATCATTTAAATGTAATTTCATGGACAATGAAAATCTCATTTGTCTGTTATCTTCATAACACTGCTCATTTACAAGCCCCAAAGGAGCAATACTTAAGATCTTTGCCAATCAGTTTCTTTGTTGAATTAATGAGATGAAAAATTGAACTCTTATCAAAAATTATGAGCTAACCTGAGAAAAATTGTTAATGACATGATTTTACATCTCAAAACTTGAGAATTTTTGTGGGATTGTAAAAAATATTTACTTATACAAGTAATGTTTTTAGAAAATTAATGGGAGATTATTCAAACATTATAATTAACTTATATAGGCCTCAGACCACAATTATTCTTCCCATTGGTTACAATGCATTTTTTGGTAAAAGTCAAATTGAATTAAAAAAATTGCACCGCTTCAAACATGAAATAAATTTACCTGCTTATAGACCATTATTATTTGAATAAAATATGCTTGTCCCAGGACAATCCATCAGTGCTTTTTCTTTTGAGAGCCATATTAACATGCCAATGGTAGGATTTGAATCTTGAATAAATGACGAAGGCTAATTTCTACCCTACTTTCATTTTGGCTGAATCACTACTTTCACTTTCGACAATAAATTTTTTCCACATGTTTTACTTATTTCAATATATATGCAACTGATAGGACCACTTAAATAGTAAACATTTCAAAGAAAACAGTAGTCAGAATACTTAGGAAGAAATACCCCATATAATAATTGGGAACTATATTCCTCATGTTCCTAGACCACGAACAAAGGGAATTAATTGTGGTCTGAAGCCTATTAGACCTAAAATATTTATAGTATTCTTATGAAACTTTACAATTACTTAGCATAAATATCTTAGTAGTATAAATGCCAAATTTTATTACATTCTGACAATTATTAAAAAAGTTTGGAATGTTTTTATATTAGCATATCTGTCTGCGGAACATGCGTTTTGCAAAGTTTTAAGAATTCAGTCAAAATTTTATTCAGAATATATTTGTTTAGTAATTTTTTACCAAAATATGCCTTGATCCAGTAAACATAACTTGTATTTAGTTGTAATGACAACTGTTAAAGCAAACTGCCACTTATGTGCCAGTTTTTTTTCATATTTATATATCTCTGGTTCTTAAGTCAGAATTGGTCAATATGATAAGGGTACAGCCATAAAAAGCATAATTGTGGGTAAATTAACACTGAAAAGTTGATTTACTTTTATCTTTCTATCCTCTCTATTGGTTATTTACTTCTAAAAAACTAAAAGTAATTTAGAATTGACACTTGAACTTTTAAGAAATTTTACTTTACATATTTTTAAATGTGTTTGCATGTCATGTTATGTCCCAGAATCAAACCAATTTTGGAAAAACTTATTGAAATTGCATTTATAAGGTACCCTCATTGATTCAATAAAGTTATGTGGTGCATGCTCACAATATTTTTTTCTATAATTTTCATTAGAAATCATGTTTACTGTAAAAAAATGCCAATTCCTGCCTTATATGCCCAAATATGGTCAAAATGTCTTATTTTGATAAATTTTCTGTTATTTCTATTTTCTTTCTTGAAAGGTAATCTGACTTAGATCATTTTGTACCTGTAAGAACTTTTATTCACAATAATTGTGTTTTGTCCAAACTCATCTCCTAGGCCTCAGACCACAATTATTCTTCCCATTGGTTACAATGCATTTTTTGGTAAAAGTCAAATTGAATTAAAAAATTGCACCGCTTCAAACATGAAATAAATTTACCTGCTTATAGACCATTATTATTTGAATAAAATATGCTTGTCCCAGGACAATCCATCAGTGCTTTTTCTTTTGAGAGCCATATTAACATGCCAATGGTAGGATTTGAATCTTGAATAAATGACGAAGGCTAATTTCTACCCTACTTTCATTTTGGCAGAATCACTACTTTCACTTTCAACAATAAATTTTCTGCATATGTTTTATTTATTTCAATATATATGCAACTGATAGGACCACTTAAATAGTAAACATTTCAAAGAAAACAGTAGTTAGAATACTTAGGAAGAAATACCCCATATAATAATTGGGAACTATATTCCTAGACCACGATCAAAGGGAATTAATTGTGGTCTGAAGCCTATAAGTATATTTTATTTACTTCTTCAAGTAAATAAAGATTACTTGTACAAGTAGTACCCCTGACTGACAATAGAGAATTTTACCCATTTACATTAATCTGTTATTATATAACAATCTGATTTAAAGAAATAAGAAAATACAGATCCTGTGTCCATTGGCTTTGCTAACAAAGATCTGACAACACTCCATTTAATGTTTAACTTTCTATTCATGTAATTACCACATCAGCCAATGCAATTTTAGCCTTCAAAGATTTGAAGTGTCTTCAAAACAGAAAGTAGAATGGGGTGTTTTCAGATCCTAGTAAGCAAGCTTGGACACAGGATCTATATTATTATCAGATTGAATCTGTACAGGCCAAAAACTACAATATGGTATACAATGATATTAGATATAATATATTTACATATATATGTCATGTATATCATGGTATCACTAATAAACATTTAGTAAAAGTAACATACATTTGTAATACAGCATTTACATGTATGGCTTAAATGAAAAATATGCAAGAACATAAATCATGTAAATGGTAAAAAGATGTAGTGTGATTGCCATTTGAGACAACAGTTGAACTCTCCACCAGCATGACCAGAGACAAAATGAGGTAGAAGTTAGCGTTATTTTTATGCCCTGCCGTACCGGAGGGGGCATTAAGTTTTACCCTTGTCCCTCTGTACGTCCGTACGTCCCGAAATTGGTTTCCATTCTCTAACTTTAGTTTGCCTCAACCAAATGTTATGAAACTTATACAGAATGCTTCTTACCACAAAACACAGATCAAGTTTGAATTTTGGTGGTGTCACTTTTACCGTTCTAAAGTTATGCCTCTTTACAAAATGAAAAATTGCTGAATTTTTCGTTTCCATTCTTTTACTTAAGTTAGCCTCAACCAAATGTTATGAAACTTCTACACAATGCTTATTACTACAAAATACAGATCAAGTTTGAATTTTGGTGGTGTCACTTTTACTGTTCTAGAGTTATGCCCCTTCACAAATGGGAAAATTGCTGAATTTTTCGTTTCCTTTCTCTTTCTTTAGTTTGCCTCAACCAAATGTTATGAAACTTATACACAATACTTATCATGCAAGTGCTTATTTCCACAAAACTCAGATCAAGTACAAATTTGGGTAGAGTCACTTTTACCGTTCTTCAGTTATGTCCCTTTATAACTTTATATGATATGCAAGCGGGAGCATCATCTGTGGCCCATGGACACATTCCCCATTTATTTGCCATAGCGTTGTCAGTTTTTTTTTACTTATGAGTTTGAATGTCACTTTGGTATCTTTCACTTTTTATTTTCTCCTGCTAGTTTACCTATATCACCTCCCATACAAAATGTATGAGAGGGTCTGTATGAGGTTTACAGAATAGAGGACAATGGGAAAACAGGGCAAAAAATATAAGGAATACAGAAAAATAGGCCAAAAAAAATAAAGAATAGAGAATGATGGGGTGGTTAAATATAAAGTATAGAGAATAAGGGTCAAAATAAAGAAAAGAGAAAAATGGAATAAAAAGTTAAAGAAATATTGAAGGACCCCATCCAGACCCTCACATATTTAATCAAATAGATATATATAATAAGATGTGGTATGAGTGCCAATGAGACAGCTCTCCATCCAAGTCAAAATTTATAAAAGTAAACCATTACAGGTCACAGTACGGTCTTCAACACGGAGCCTTGGCTCACACCGAACAGTAAGCTACAAAGGGCCCCAAAAAATTACTAGTGTAAAACCATTCAAACGGGAAAACCAACGGTCTAATCTATATAAAAAACGAGAAACGAGAAACACTTATGAACCACATCAACAAACGACAACTACTGAACATCAGATTCCTGACTTAGGACATGTGCAAACAAATGCAGCGGGTTTAAACATTTTAATGGTACCAAACCTGCACCTTTCTGTTTTAAGAAATAAATCAATTGGAAAAAAGTAAGGCTTATATTTCCCTATCCTTTATAAAGGCTAGGGTAGCAACTTAAGAGACTATGTAATGAAGGCAAGTCAAGGCACTTCATACATGTCACAGTGCTAATATACCTGTTATATATATGTAATGAAGGCAAGTCAAGGCACATCATACATGTCACGGTACTAATATACCTGTTATATATATGTAATGAAGGCAAGTCAAGGCACATCATACATGTCACAGTGCTAATATACCTGTTATATATATGTAATGAAGGCAAGTCAAGGCACATCATACATGTCACAGTGCTAAAATTCCTGTTATACATGTATACAGTCTGTACAATTTACATGCAAATTCTCAGAAATCATCGCAATGTTTTTATTAATTTGAAAAATACTACAGTCATGACAGTATCTGGTTTGCAATAATAAAAACTTGCATTCATTCTTTCAGCATTGATTTTCATTCAAAAAATTTTTGCAATTGTATTAATTAGATTTCACATTTTTATCAGAGGTCAAGGAGTCACATTCAAAAAAACACACATTAATTTCTGAATTAACAGTAAATAATTTTTTATTTCAGATCATGGTGAAATCAGAGAGATTTTGAATAATCAGTAAGGCTTACATAAGCTGGTCACCATGGATACAACCAAAGATAGAAATCGTTACCTAAAGCAGATAGAAAATGCTGTATGTACACATATTATTTTGTATATTGTTTTAAAAAGGTCAATTTTAGTTACAAAATGTCATTTAGAATGTTCAGATCTCAGACATGAACAAGGCTTTTTTTGTTTCTGACTTGCAGAAGTCATATGATGTATTAAGATGTGTTGACAGTTATCATGGTTATGGGCGTGTCTAAGTCAGAAAATGACAGACTTGTTCTAGATAAATTTATGTTTAACAAAACAGAAAAGACCATGTGGTAAAAGTACATCACCTAAATGTATATGACAATAAAAAAAATTATTAGAATACACGAATAAACACCTGAATTTTTTTTTTATTTTCAGCATGTTCAGTGGTTTAAATGGTTGCATAAGAAAGTGAACAAACATTGGCACTCATACCACATCTTCTTATATCTATCTATAGTCTCAGTTTTGTTACGATTATCACATATTTTTACGTTTTTTTTTCAACACATTGTTATCACAGTTTCCTGTTGATGCTTTACCATTGTATATTTATGCTTGGGATTTGAAGGTAGTTAATTTGGGTAAATGATCACTTGAAGAAGTAAATATTGGCAACATTTTGATTAAGGTCCAATGTGTTTGCATTAATTGATTTGTTGAGTCATATAACAAAAAGGGAGATAACCCACTAAACATACAAATTCAGAACACTTTAAATCAAAAACAAAATAAGATTATTTATGTCTTAGCTCCAGATGACTGTTTGTGCAGGATGAGAATTTCCCCTTAGTTTGGTGTTTCTTTGAATTGATTTACAGCTATTGAGGTACAAATATTTACACTGTACATGACTCTTCTGTTTTAAATTTGACTCTTTATTGATTATGAAATTTCTCATATGTCAGATGTTTATGGAAAAAAAGATGAAAACAGGCCAAGGGGAACTAACTCTTTTTTTGTGGAAATTGATCTTTGGATTTAATTTCATGTCAGAAAAATATATATACTGATTTGTCTTTCGTGTACAAGTTGGATTAATACATTACTACATACATAACAGCAATTCTGGTTTATAAAATTTTATTGTAAAAATATATAGAATTCAGAATTTTAATTGTTAACAAAAAAAATAAAACATTTTGAAAATATATTATAATGAATCTTTCTATGTGATAAGGGAGATAATCAGCTACTTCTGGTTTAATCAAATGATAGCTTACTTTACACTGATTGCAAAAATATAAGTTTCCTATGACCTATATATAAATATTTTTGTATTTGAAAAGGAAGATAATTTGCTATGCACTAATTACCAAACTATATAGTATCTTTGGACTTTTGCTTGAAATAAGGGAGATAATTTGCTACTTCTGATTTAAAAAATCACTTCAGTTGTTATATGATAGCTTACATTACGTTGATTCCAAAAGGATAAAGTTTCTTTGTACTTTTGCTTGAAATAAGGGAGATAATGTGCTTCTTCCTGTTTAATCAAATCTTTGGCATAATTCCCAAGCATTTTTATCTATTTCTTGACAGTGTCAGGCCAAATAAAAATATATGTGTGGTTCCAGTTATGCAACCGATCCTAGTTTAACCCACCCCCCCCCTCCCCCCCTCGACCATAGAACTTTTTTTTCCATTTCTGAAAAATAGATTTTGAAAGATCCTATTTTGAGGAATGTGAATTTCAATAATTGAATTCACAGACTTCTGTCATCTGAATTTCCATTAAAAGTATCCACTATGGATAAAAATGCAACAAATTCTTAACAGAATGCAATAAAATTAACAAAAAATGCAACACATATGTTTATTTTACAACTAAAAAACATAAAGAAATGGCAAACTTCCGGTAGGGGTGTGTGAAATACCAGAATTCGACTCGGTGAACACACAATTTTTTTTGGACAAAATTTTAAAATTTAAAAAAAAAAAATGTTGACCTACCATGCCTACCAACCCTATATTTTTTCAGTATGTAACTGGAACCACACATATATTTTTATTTGGCTCAGTGGAATAGCAATAAGAAGCAAATGTCAAAATCTTGAAAGTCAAATTGCCCTTTGTCCTTGACCAAATTTTTTTTTTTTAACCATCTAATAGCAGAAGGTGTTTAATGTCCCACACATCAAATTAACTTAATACTCTTAGTCTGATGGTAAAAGTGTGATCTGTAATTTTTATGTATTTTTACTTTCAGTGTGAAAATTTAACCAGTGAAAATGATGATTTTATCTTTGTGACAATGAACACAGACAGTAAGACATCACACTCAATGGGAACACAAATTGGAATGGATTTTCTGAACCAGCAATTAATGGTGGATTCTGGAGAGAGTAGCATCCTGAAAATGTTCAGCAAATTTGTAAAAGGTAATAAGATATCATTGTGACAGTGCATTACCTCCTTTTGGAGTAAATCCACTAGCCTAAGGTTGAAATTCTCAATATGATTCAAATACAGATCCTGTGACTGTGCTTTGCTAAAAATGATCTGACATTTAACTCAGTTCTACATTTTGTTATGGTAATTGATATATCAGCCAATGAAATTTCTGCTTTCAAATTTTTAAGGTGTGTATCACCATTATCATTTGCATAGAACCTGAGGATCCTAAAAGTTTTTTTTAAACAGAAAGGGGAAAGGAGCTTTGGTCAGATTCTAGTAAACAAAGCATGGACACAAGATCTGTATTTCAGTCAGATTGTTGAAATTTTTTAATAAAATTTTCCAAGTGTTTTATTCTCAAAGGAGGCTAGTAGTGTGAGTAAGATATGCACTAATACATTTGATATACCGAAAATTCTACACAATAGAATGAATGTGCGCTTACGTATAGTTTTACAAAACTTAACTTGACAAATCAAATGCACCATTTGAAATAAGAATTACATTTTGTACTAGTTATAAGAATTATGCACAACTTTGGTGAAAGTAGAATAGGCATTATTTTACGACTGAATAGAGTTATACCAATAAAATATATTGTTCTGAAACTACCTCACAAAATTAGGGCCATTTAACTTTAAATGATTCAATATTTTTGTTTAGGTCAGTTTGGTGTACATGTTTATACCCTACCTATGTTAATAAACATGGTAAAGAGAAATTTACTTTATTGTCTGTTCATCCATCCGCCCATTCGACCGTATATTAGTGTGTTTGTTTGTCTGTATGCAAAAAGTAACATCAAACTGAACTGTAGTGTACTTTTTTGGGGGGTATGAATTTCAAACCTTTGATATATATCTCATAAAAAATCTGGCAAGATTTGTACACTTGAGAGCACTTACAATGCAATTTTTAATTTAACATAGATTTTTGCCAAGGGAAATAACTCCTGTAAAAAAAATTGATTAGCGCTAATTTTGGATCCTCCCAGACATTTATGATATAAACCTTTGATAAAAATTTCATAAAATTCTGGCAAGAAATGTACACTTACTATGCAATTTTCTATAAAATTTACATTACCAAGGGAAATAACTCCTGTGAAAAAAAATTGATTATTGCCAATTTTGGAACATATCCCAGACATTGCTGATATAAACCTTTGATACAAATATCATAAAAATCCTACAAAAAAAATTAAGCTTGAGAACATTTACAATGCAGTTTTCCATATAATTTATATATCAAAGGGGCATAACTCCTTTAAGAATAGTTGTTAAACATGGTTAGAATATAACATTGTGTGTTGGTCTAGTACAAAGCAAACTTTAAAGTTTTAACATTTCTTCAAACTATTTTCTCATAAAATGCTGTAATATTTGCCACTGGATATAAAACACCCATCAATCATTAAAGAGAAATAAGAAATAACAGGACAAGTTCTGCATTTGAAGAGTTGCCACCATATATTGGGGATATGACAGTCAAAAATAAAGTTTTATTGGTGACTTGCAGCAGATTAAACCATTATTTGTGACCGTCAAATGGTGGAAGTTTTTCATATACTTACAGTACTGTTATTCCTATTCTTATGCAATTCTCATAAAATATTCATAATAAAACCGAACATACAACTGCAATTGCGCAATGTGAATGTCATTGCTTATGACTCTGACTGTTAACAGTGGAATTGATTGCTTAAGTCTTCTAATTAAAACTAGTTTAACATGTCATATTGCATTATAATTATTCAGTGATATAACCTTTAACTTTTAATCTTTTACAGATCAGTACGGTGGACAAGAAATTGACATTAGTACTGAACAGAAGATTGTTACTAAACTATCACAAAATGTGAATGTGGACACCTCTGCTGTTGAAATGAGAATTGTTGTAAATGACAAACTAGATGCATCTCCGACGGAGTTGATTCACACAGAACTGTTGACATCAGACAGTATTGGAAATAACTCACAGTCTAATTTATACAACATAGCTGATGCAGAAAAAGGAACAATTGATCAGAAAGAGGCTGACATAGAATCTAATCAGAAAGCTCCTAGGGCTGACAGAGAAAATGGTCTTTCAGCCAATCAAGATGCTTCTCCTAAGCAGAATCCTGACCAAATTGATAATGAACCTGAATTGTGCGGTGACATGAATAATAGAAAACAACAAACAGTGTGTAAGACTGTAAGGAGAATTGGACGACCAAAGAAAGAGGTATACTGTAAATTCCTTTAATTTAATTGGTACAACAGTTATTCTTACTTTTACACTCACCACTCCATTCAAGGTGGTTGTCCTGAACATGCATGAAATATTTGCCACTGGACGTGAAGCAACCAACAATCAATCAATCAATCAATCCCTGTTATGCATGCATGTGTCTCATTACTTTAATAAATATGAAGAACTACTAACATTCATGGCATTAGGTATTTTTGGAGAAAAAAGTAAGTTAAAAAAAATACCGAACTCCAAGGAAAATTCAAAACTGAAAGTCCTTTATCAAATGGCAAAATCAAAAGCTCAAACACATCCAACGAATGGAAAACAACTGTCATATTCCTGAATTGGTACAGGCATCTCCTTATGTAGAAAATGAAGGGGAATGTTTTTATGTTTTTTTATTTTCTGGACAAATGTTTTTTTTTCCTTTCAATTTACTCATGTAAATAAAAAAAAATGTAGCTTCATTCATATTGTTACTTAAAATCAATGTATCATCTAAATTATTATAATAAGATGTATAAATTTATTTGTTGAACAGTCAGAGCTCAGACATGAATAAGTCTAATTTTGACTTGTAGAGATCTAACTTTGCATGTTTCATGGGTTCTCTCCCTATATTTTAAAACAAAATAAGACTTCATCCAATATGTCAATTAATGTTTAGCTAAAAATTGATCTTTATCAAAAAGATTAATGACTTCTTCAAGTCGAAAAGTTACCAAAACTTGTTAACTTCAAGACCCATGCACAAATACAAATGTATAAAAAGGTCATTGAGACTAGATTGTTCATGTTGTTAGACAATGCTTTGTCTTCTGAAGACAATATGAGTTTGATTCTAAAAAAACAGAGACAATGTCCATTCTCTCTGATGCAATCATTTATGACAACTAAAGTTGGAAAAGAACTAAGATGTAACTAAAAACTGTTCAATTAGATCATTACTTGTAGATAGCTAAGGTCCTTGTATATTCTCAAAAAAGTTGACTTGTTTATGTCTGAGCTCTGACATGAATACTTTACCTGTTTGGATAAAAGTTCACCTTGATTGTACACTTGATATAATTGGATTACCTGTCCATGCCTGTGGCTGAAATAATAAGATGTATAAATTTATTTGTTGAACAGTCAGAGCTCAGACATGAATAAGTCTAATGACAGGAACGGGGACCCAGTTATTTCCCCCATTGAAACGCATTGAAAATCATAGTAAATAAATGGGGTGCTGTCCAATGAATAATTTTGATAGCCATCTTGGGACTTCTGTTTCATGTTAGGCATTTGTTTGGAAGTTTCTAACTACAATCTCAGTGCCTCATGACCGGCATTCCGTTGCAAAATTTTGTTTCGATTGACAACAGGGTAGGTCCATCTACTTCTGGGGAAGAATAAAGGCTAGAATTTAGGCAATTTACTCTATGTACCGACGCCTGATTACATTTAAATCAATCAAAATTTTTACAGAAATTCAAGCTAGAAAGCCTACCCTTTCAAATAAATCTACATTCAGTTACAGAACTTGTGTAATAATAAAACTACACCATTTTGAATAAAAGTTATATATTTTTTTTAAGAACTACATTCGTGGGTACCGGACTGGTTGCCGTAACTGGGATCCTATTCCTGTCAGGCTTTAATTTTTTTCCCAGACTTAAAACTGCACTTTTAAAATAAAGATATACATCTGAGTAGTTATTGTGCAAAGTTTCAATAGATTTGATCCAACAGTTACAGAGTTATTGATTCTTATCTATGACATCTCAAATACCAGAAAATTGATCGTATAAAATCATAAATTCATGAGGAAAATATTCTTAAAATCAGCAAAATTTTTTTATTTTAAAAGATATTTACATTCTGTTAATTGCACATGGTAGATAAATTCATTATTTGTATGGAAATCTTGTTAAAAAAAATTTTGCTGAAAATAAAATTAATTATAATTAATTTTTTAATTAAAAAAAAATCGTATAAAAATTAAATATGCAAAGAAGTATACCCCATAACAAGGGTATAAATCATGAGAATTAGTCTTTAAACAGTCAGCTAAGTTCATTTAATATACAATGGAAGAGGCTAGATGCAGAGAAGTTCTCACTTGTAGCTAAAACCAGTCAAGACGGCACCTCCTACAGTTTAACAAATGTTGAGGGAAATCCTGGATCTGCCTGAATGCTTAATGCTACTGTGCGTTGTTATACTTGTGACTGCTCTAAATGTCCCACTAGTTCATACGTGTGTGGTGGTGGTGGACACTCAAACTGTTGGTGGCTGAGATCTATGTACTTGGGTCCAAACAAGTTAACCAACCTGAATATGGATAACATAGACAAGTTAATAATGCAGGAACTTTTAAAAATGAAACTTGGCGAAGAAGTATTAATGAAAATGAAATTTAATCATAATACTCAAAAAAATTGAAGCTGTTCACAGAGCACTAAGTGTTTCGTGTGTTTCCTTACCAAAGAATGTGAACTTTTCTAGAAATTTGAAGGGAGGGCATCAGCAATAATTCACAATTTGAATAATGGTATAGCTTATTCTTTGTGACAAAAAGCAGAATGTATTGGTTTTAAAATCTCAAAAGGTTCATTAAAACACTTCGACCAGATGTAAAGGGAGTGTGAACAGAACAAAGTAAAGCAAAATACTCAAGAGAGGAAAGAAAAATTTACAACGCACCGGACAGAAGACTAAGGTTCATGTGGAAGAAAAGGATCGAAGTAAATGTACAGATAGATAAAAAAAAAGGGCAACCTGATCCAAAACTTGATGCTGCATTTGTAAAAACATAAAGGACGATCATTCATATGGTAGAGTAATACCTGCTAAGAAGAATATACCTACCAGAAGCTGTTCTTCAAAAGTTCCAAAATCAAAGGAAGATATAGCTGCATTCATCTACTGCTGAAAAAGATACAGACAAAATTAACAGTCCTTTTAAGGACCACCAAAATCTTTAAAAAGGAGTCTAAAATTGTTGTACATTCAGTTAAAATTGTTTATATAAGCTATAGCCCTACCCCTTATATATCTTCCAAAAAAATCCAGGCCCCAATCTGTAAAATTAGAGAGCCCCTGGCAAGATTTTCTGAGTTTACAAAATATTCTGTCTTTATTTATGTGATGCGGCTCTTCAGTAATGTGACCCGCGTTCCCACACAAACTTTTATGACACATAAAATGCCATAAATGGTGTATTTAATATTTAAAACTTATTAAAAACTAATTAAAAACCATAAAACTGAATCTATGGGCTTTTTTTCTTTTTCCAGGTCCCAGAAATTTGATACTGGAAAGAAATAAGCCCATATTTTCCATCTTTTGTTGTCCCCTGATCCCATATAAGACATTTGTTATTTCTTGCCAGGTGGCTCTTTTCTAATATTCTTTGCTGATATTTTTCGAAAAATCCCTCCATTTTAACTTACAAGTGTATGAATACATAATACCATCAAAATGACCTTACTGTGACCCCTTTTGAAACTTTAAATTGAAAAACAAACTTTTTAAAAATTTTATAAATTTAAATTTCAATTTAATTTAAAAAGTTTAATTCAAATTTTAAAAATAATTACACCATTGTTTTCCTTATTGAATTTTCAAGTTTCTGGCCAAATTTTATCCATGTAAGGTAACTAAAAAAATAAGCTTACAATTGCAGATTGAAGTGTTCAAAATATGCCCTCTGACAGGAACGGGGACCCAGTTATTTCCCCCATTGAAACGCATTGAAAATCATAGTAAATAAATGGGGTGCTGTCCAATAAATAATTTTGATAGCCATCTTGGGACTTCTGTTTCATGTTAGGCATTTGTTTCGAAGTTTCTAACTACAATCTCAGTGCCTCATGACCGGCATTCCGTTGCAAAATTTTGTTTCGATTGACAACAGGGTAGGTCCATCTACTTCTAGAAGAATAAAGGCTAGAATTTAGGCAATTTACTCTATGTACCGACGCCTGATTACATTTAAATCAATCAAAATTTTTACAGACATTCAAGCTAGAAAGCCTACCCTTTCAAATAAATCTACATTCAGTTACAGAACTTGTGTAATAATAAAACTACACCATTTTGAATAAAAGTTATATATTTTTTTTAAGAACTACATTCGTGGGTACCGGACTGGTTGCCGTAACTGGGATCCTATTCCATATGTCAATTAATGTTTAGCTAAAAATTGATCTTTATCAAAAAGATTAATGACTTCTTCAAGTCGAAAAGTTACCAAAACTTGTTAACTTCAAGACCCATGCACAAATACAAATGTATAAAAAGGTCATTGAGACTAGATTGTTCATGTTGTTAGACAATGCTTTGTCTTCTGAAGACAATATGAGTTTGATTCTAAAAAAACAGAGACAATGTCCATTCTCTCTGATGCAATCATTTATGACAACTAAAGTTGGAAAAGAACTAAGATGTAACTAAAAACTGTTCAATTAGATCATTACTTGTAGATAGCTAAGGTCCTTGTATATTCTCAAAAAAGTTGACTTGTTTATGTCTGAGCTCTGACATGAATACTTTACCTGTTTGGATAAAAGTTCACCTTGATTGTACACTTGATATAATTGGATTAGCTGTCCATGCCTGTGGCTGAACTGCTCGATTTTGAAGTACCTAAACTTTAAAAAAAAAATATGATAACAGCCCAACACAGATCATAAACAACTACTCTGGAATCATTAACTGTCCTGGGATACAAATATTCTTGAAAACCATAAATTTAAGTATTCCAGGAAATATAATTATATACATTTTGAGATAATTTGATGAAACCAAGAAATTTGTTACCCTCAAAATAGTGAATCTTTCTTTTAATAAACCTTGAAAATTGATACCAATGGAAATAAATGAATCACTTGTACTGTATACATGGTATAGTGGATTTTTTTTTCATATTCTGACTTTTCAGGTTAAACCTCATTATAAAGTTTTTTCCCCATGTTTTTCTAATCTCTGGTTATGAGTTTACCTAAACACCAAAGTTATGAAAGGGGATATTTTAGCAATTTTTATTGAAATTTTGAAATATGCCAAGAATTTCATACACCATAGTATGTTACATTTTACATGTAAATTTATGATGCTTGTCTTAAAAGATTTTTCTCCATGAAGACACTGATTTATATTGCTGTAATAGGATGATTTACTTTGTTGTCTTTCAGGACAAAGCAAGTTTTACAGATAGTGAAGTAAGAAAAAAGCAGGTGTTAGGGAAAACAGAGGGAACATCTAATGACCAGATTGGTACTGCAGACAAGAAATCACCAAATAAAACTGTAGATAAAGAAGAGAAGACAAAAGTTATGGCAGGGAAACCAGGAAGAAAATCTGCAGATATTAAAACACCCAAAGCATCAAAACCTACTGCAGTTTTGACTTCAAGAAGTGGGAGAAAAGTTGTACTGCCAAAATGGTTACAGGAAAATTACCAAGACGTCAAAGAAATTAAAAAAGAACCTGAAGATCTTGATGACTCATATGGTGGTTTAAATGTAAGCAAGAGTGATGAGGATACTTTGGTTAAAGCAGGAAGCAGATCATCTAAAGAAAAAATGAAACAAGAAATGGCTAATGATTATCCCTCTGCTGGAGAAAAAACATTTGGGAAGAGAAAGGGTATTGATAAGGAACCAGATAAGAAGTTTACAAAGAACCAGTCAAAAACTGGTTCTGTTAGAAAGTCTAATCTACAGGAACCAGGACAGATTCATCAAGAAATAGGTTCAAAAAGGAAATTTGAAGATTCAATTGAAATTGGTGAATCACTTGAACCAGATAAAAGTAAAATGATGAAAAAAGATTTTGAATCAGACAATGAAGAGGAAACAGAAAATGGAGAGAATGTAAAAGTCCTGAAGGAAGAAAACATAAATATAGAACAGTCAGTTGCAAGTGTCCTGTTTGAAAAAGTGCAAAAACATGGAGAAGACAATGAAAATGATGAATCAGTTTTATATGAAGGAATCATGAGCGATAGTTCAGATGCTGAGAATGAAGAAAATGAAATAAAAGATGATGATGAAGATGATTTTGAAGTTGTTGGGGATGAATCTGATACCAAAGAGGACAATGATACTGGTGAAAATACAAAGCCATCTTCTCAGACTTCTGGTCGCTGGTCTTGTGGTGTTTGCAATGCTAAAGCCAAGAAATGTTGGTTGGTTCGTAGGCACATGAGAAGAATGCATGACCTTGGTAATGATGACTTCAAGCCATGTCGCCATTGTAGGAGAGTGCTAGCTAATGAAGAATGTAACAGATGCCTTGTAAAGGAGGTGAAAAATTACATGTGTGATACTTGTGGAAGTGTATTTAATACAAAAGCCCAACTTTCCAGGCACGAAGAAATCCATTTGACTGAAAAAGAGGTTCCTTGTCCTTTGTGCAACAAGAAATTTAAAACAGAGAGGTACGTCAAAATGCATGTTTATAACACACACAAGAAGCGATATGGGAAAGCTCTATCAGCACAGACAGAGCCAGGTGTATGTGACATATGTGGGAAATGGTTCAGGTTCAAATGTAATGCGGTACGCCACAGAGAAATCCATTTCGAAGAAAAGCGATTTGATTGTAACATATGCCAAATGAAATTCCGTCACAGCAGTTCTTTGAAACGTCACATGATTTCACATCAACAGAAGTCGGAAAACATGTATGTATGTGAACAATGTGGGCGTTCATTTAAAATGAGGCAGACTTTACTTCAGCACCATAGGGTGCATGTAAAACAGCCATTCCTAAAATGTGAATATTGTCCTAGGGAATTCCGTACCTACAAAGGTAAAAAATATCACATTCTTAAAGACCACATTGACAAAGCTGGAGACTTCAGTTTTAAATCTTATATTTGTGAACATTGTGGTAAACCATCCTCAAGTAAGAATGAATATGAAGAGCATCTAAAAAATCATGATGAGAGTAGAACTCATGTTTGCTCAATTTGTGGAACAAGATGGGAGACAGTTGCTCAACTAAAAGCCCATAAGAAGAAACATAACGTTACCCCTTTCCGTTATAGATGTAAAGTCTGTAATATTCCGTTCAAAGAAGCTTCTAAAGTGCGAGCTCATATTCTGAAGGACAGTCACTTGAAAAACTGTGCTGCTAAGGGCTTGGACCGTACCATTGATAAAGTGTCAGATTTAACAAACACAGAAATCGTAGAAATCATCGAATATGATTATGATATGACTTTCCGCAGTGAAGAGGACCTTCAGTTGGAAATTGAAGCTAGTACTTCTGCCGAGATACATGAAATACCAGATGAAATAAAAGTCATCCATATTGAGCAAAACGAATTTGACGGGACAGGTGCTCAGACTGTGCAAATTCTGAATGAAGAGGGAGTTGAAATCATGTATGATGAAATCAGTTTGCCGCAGGAAGAGATTACAGTCGATGGAAACCAAGTGATCTACCAGGTTGAAATCGATGGACAGAATGCTATAATTTGTGACACTTTAACTTCTCAAGCTGTTGAATCAATTCTTAAATTACAGAGTCAGTCTTAATTACTGTAAATTCAGAATTTTTTTTGTCCATGGTCCATTTATTATTGCGGAAAATGCTGCATACAAATACTGCTTTCACAATTTAACACAATGAGAGTTTTTGTTTGTGTGAATCATATCCACATGATCCAATTGCAATTTTCTCAATAATAAAATCATCTCAAACCTTTTTGAATTTACAATTGTTGATGAACAAACTAAGATTTTTTAAGCTTTATAAAATCTATTTTTGAATAAGAAAATCAGTCTTGATTCATATTTGTTTCGTAAAATTAATGATCATTACATTTAGCATGTTTAGACGAAAAAAATGAAAACACTATGTTTTCGATCACTGGTCAGCATGGTGCGAGAGTATGGCAAAGAAAGGATATGGTATATCAATATTTGACTTAAAACACACCTGAAAAATGTATAGGAACAGTGATTTTATTGTTATTGTTCATTTCAAAGTCACAGTTAGAAAAAGAATCCTTGTCTGCATCTTGCCATTCAAACATCCTACAAACATGCATATTTGCACATTATAAAATTGAGAATGGAAATGGGGAATGTGTCAAAGAGACAACAACCCAACCATAGAGCAGACAACAGCCGAAGGCCACCAATGGGTCTTCAATCAGGCATGGGGTAATGCAAATTTGTAATTGTAATGCATGGTAATGCATTACATTTTTCCAAGTAATTGCATGTAATGTGTAATGCAGCAATTTGTGCATTACATGTGATTGTAATATAATGCATTACTTTAGCAAAAAGTTGTGTAATTTCATGCATTACATGGCATTACATGTCATTACTTTTTTCACATACTACATCTTTAACATATTGTTGGAGTTTTAACTAAACCAAATTTAAGATTTCTTGATTAACTAAGAATATGTTAATCATTAGAATATATTCTTTATTTCATCTTATTTCATACATTTTCCTGCATAAAAAGATTGATATTTGAAAAGCATAGCTGTATTGTTGTCATAAGATCAAAGAATATCTTTGTTTTGCTTAAATAAAAGATAATTAAACTTTGTTATAAAACACTAATTAGTTTGTTTAACAATCAATATTTTCACCATTTAGACAATTGTTCATTAATTAAGGTCTATGTTTATTTTATAATTAGGGAAGTAATTCACAGTAATTAAATATTTCGTTTAAAATTTAAAAAAAAGCAACAAAAAATATATTTATAAAAGTAAAGTCAACATTAAGTTAAAATAATTAAAAATTGTAAAAGTCAAATTAAATAGACTTTGTACATGTATACTTATATTCAATTCATGGAACAGTTACTGCATATGCTAGAATCTTTTGTGACTTCTAGTTGTTTTTCAAAATGTTTAATTTTTCTATTCACTAATAAAATTTTCAAATGTAATGTGTAATTCAAGGCATTACTTTGCAAAAGTAATTGTAATATAATGCATTACTTTGATAAATGCATGTAATTGTAATTGTAATATAATGCATGGTTTGGTCAAAGTAATTGTAATTTAATGCATTACATTGCAATGTTATTCGCCCCATGCCTGTCTTCAATGCAGCGAGAAACTCCCGCACCCGGAGGCGTCCTTCAGCTGGCCCCTAAACAAATATGTATAATAGTTCAGTGATAATGGATACTTTCTTGTCACCTGGGCTAATGGGCCATGTGAGCTTTTGTCATCCCTTTGCAACCATCCTCCGTCTTTATGTTGTCTGTGATCATCTGTAATTATTTCTTCAAAATTTCTAAAATTGCTCAATGAATTGAACCAAAGTTTGTTTCATGTATAGAATGTGTACAACAAACTTCTCTAAAACTTATAGAAAAACTGCCCGCCTGTTATGGAGTTATTGCAGTTTCAATGTTGATTTTTCATTTTACTTTTTTGCCATTGTTTCAAAAATTAAAGGAGCTATAATTGCAAAAAAGGACCAGCATGACACAATGTACCTATCCTGAAAATTGGATTAAAATAAGTCGACCAACATGTATTTTTGAGTTATTGCCCTAGAAATATCAAATTTTTGCAGTTTTTGCCTGTTATCGTGAAAATATAGGTAAAAATTGTAAATGCAAAAATAGTCAGCATAACAAGATCTGTCTACTCTGGAAATTTCATAACCTTTTTTTGAGTTATTGCCACTGAATTGTTAATTTTTACTGACTTTTGCAGTTTTTGCTGTTCACTAATAAAAACTATGGGAGCTAGGTTAAACAGGTAAATTAATTGCAAAAATTATCAGCAGCACGGAGAGTTACTATAGTATGTGTATATAGAAGTCCTAATTAGCAAATCAGCGGGTTTTTTTTTCAACAGGTGAGCGATACAGACACAGACTTGCCTCTTGTTGCCTATATTTCAGACACTTTAAAAGATAAGTAAACATTGTACAGCCACAAATGATGAGCAATACAAACTCTACAGAAAAGCAAATATCACTTTCCTTGGATGACTCCTTAGAGGTGTAATTGTCCCTAAATGCAGTTGTTTGCCTAATTTTGTTGCTTTTATCTATTATCTCGAAAACTATAATAGATAGGTAAAAACAGTTATGGCATATAGCAACCAACGACATAAACCATATTATATATACACCATTCTATTGTTAAAACTGTAAGTTGTCTTCTTGGTGTCTTTTTAGATAATTTTGTTGTTGGATTGCTTTATTGATGTATACCCCCACTTGATCAAGTTTCCACATGTTTTCCGTTTGCTTCTCCTTTAATGTTTGTACGATAGCTAAACATAGTTTGTTTTTCTCTGAGACAAAACCAAGCGTTGTTACAATAGCATTTTTGGTGAATTGCAAATAAAATTGGGGTGGTAATATAATTTCGATCAATAACAATTGTCCTGGGCATGTTTTAATCGGTTACGAATTAGACATACTATTACGTTTCAAAAGAACTTCAACTCAATGTTGTCATATCTGTGCATCATGTACATTACTTGTTTTCACTCGCTTCCAATTTATAGTTAAACAAGAGTGGTATTATTTGTTAGCGTGTGTTCTCTGTACAATTCATTTTGAAATTTATGGTTTTGGTAGTTTAATGTGCTAATGATCAATTTCTATTTTACAACAAAGTAGATGTTGATATTTGCGAATAAAATTCTGGTTATGATAATAGTTTTAGCTTGCAATTATTGTCAAACAAAACTATTCAAATAAATCTACGGAATCCGAAGCTAAGTCAAATACTAAAATTAAACCAAGAGTCCCAAGTGTTCAAGTTGAAGTCTAACATTTGACAGACGCCATTACGAGTTGACCGATATGGAATATCTGTTTCACAGACGACGATGGGTATGTTTCAATTGTCGTAATCACAATCCTGTCCTCTTATCAACGGGTTTGAACTAGGCCTAACATAAGCAACACGTCGCGGGTGTCACATGTGGAGCAGGATTTTCTTACCCTTCTAGAGCACCTGAGATCATCACCGTTTTTCGATTGGTTTTTGTGTAACACCGGCTTTATTTTCTATGTTGTGTTTGTCATTTTGTTGTTTATGTCTCTGCTGCGACGAAAGTCTCAGAATGCGAGACATAAGTATTACAATCTGGCGGCGATGACGTAAACTATTTGTATAAAGCTTTATATTTCAGATGGTAGAAATGCTTCATACCTTGTATACAGATACCTTATGTAAGGAACTGCACGTCTGTCATATGTTCATTGTCCTTGATCTCATTTTCATGGTTAGATGACTGCTTTAAAAAAATAACATTTTTTTGTCAAGTGAAATACTTACTAATTTTGGTATATGGGTTCCTTGCAACGTTTACATGTTCGTCAGGTAGGATTCTGTATCTCAGATATCATAAGCAGCAGGTCAAATATATTTGGTGTATTTAATGATTTTAAGGTGTACTTGCCCGACTGGCAGTATTCATCTGACCTTGGCCTCATTTTCACTGTTCATTGGTTTGGTCAATTTCTCGGATAATATAAGCAACAGGTCAATTGCATTTGGTGTATGGACCGATTGTAAGGTGTACATGTCTGTCTGGCAGTGTTCATTTGACCTTGACCTCATTTTCATGTTTCTTTGGTCAGTGTTAAGATTTTGTGGTTTTATCTGTTTTTTATGTACTGTTTGCGATAGGACAACTATATCTGGTGTATGGTATGATTGTAAGGTGTACATGTCTGTCTAGCAAGGTTCATCTAACGGTAATCTCATTTTCATAGAACATTGAGAATGCTAAGTTTATGTGAAAACTGATAGTTGTAGTAGTAGAATTAAACCTTCATAGTACAGACTTTCAACACGAATTCATTGATAGGTAAAACAAGCGAGACATTTTTGCCATGATGTTGTCAGTTCGTGTTTGACTTATGATGATACAAACAAGAATGTGTCTATAGTACACGGATGTCCCATTCGCACTATCATTTTCTATGTTCAGAGGACCGTGAAATTGGGGGGTCAAAACTCTAATTTGGCATTAATATTAGAAAGATCATACATGTATCATAGGGAGCATGTGTACTAAGTTTCAAGTTGATTGGACATCAACTTCATCAAAACCTACCTTGACCAAAAACTTAGACCTGAAGCGGGACAGACGGGCGAACGAACGAACGAACGAACGGTTGCACAGACCGAAAAACGTAATGCCCCTCTACTATCGTAGGTGGGGCATAAACATTTGCAGAATTGGTATGATTACAAATGAAACAACTCTACACTAGAGACCTAATGACGTCATTATGCGGTCTTCAATAACGAGCAAAACTCGTACTGCATAGCAATCTATAAGAGACCCCGAAATGACAAATGTAAAACAATTCAGACGAGAAACTATAACGGCTTATGTATGTACAGAACAATAAACGAAAAACAAATATGATATACAGCAACAAACGACACTCGAACCATTGAATTACAGGCTCCTGACTTGGGACATGCACATACAGAATATGGCAGAGTTAAACTTTTTTGCGGGCGTCGATTTAGGCGTTTGACTATCCCTTTGATATCTTCTGCCTCTCTTTTTCTTTGAAACTAAAACAAATCCACTTAAATTTCTTATACATGTTATAGAAACGAAACTACTGAAATTTGATATTATGTTTAGTTATCAATCAATGAAATAAGTTAAATATATAACAACATAGCACTATTTCATAAACTTATAATTTATATATATATAAGAAGAGTCTTTTACTTATCGT